AAAAAAAAAAAAAAAAAAAGTCAAATTTCATAATTTTCATTTTCTTTAGTGGACGAGATTCTTTATTTTTTCATTAATTTAATTTAATTTAATTGCATGTTAATGGGCCCAAGTTTGCACCGTAGAGAAGCCCTATAGACTTAAAAAATGATGGGCCATAAATGGGCCATAAGGCCATAGCGGAGAATCCAATTCCTTAACCTTTTAAAACCTTTATTATTATTAATTTAGTTATTCTTTTTTAATACTCGAATTATAAACAGATGAACATAAAAATAAAAAATATGAAATTTCAAAAAGGAAAATTAATTCATTTAAAAATAAAAATATAAAAAATTAAATATTTGAGAAGAAAACATTTAGTCAAATTTCATTAGTTTATTCACAATTTCTGTTTATTATATTTTTCCATGTGTCGCATGTTACATAAAAATAATGTATGGTTTAATTATCCTTTTAATATTTTAATTCTAATTTTAATCATTTTTAATTATAAAATGCATTATAAATATTTTAAAATAAATAGAACATAAAAATTTTCAATAATTTTAAAATTAGTAAAAAAAGCGAGGAACCGGAGACCAGTCCCACCCCTCGTTCTATAAATACCGGCCCATCGCCATTTCTGTATCGTTGCTGTTTTTGATCCAGAGAACAATTTTTGCTGGTCTCCGATTTCTGTGTAAGCCAATGGCTCAAGAAGGAAATGTGATTGCCTGTCGTAGTACTTCTGAATGGAATGCTGTATTGTTGAGAGAATCTGGAAAACTGGTATAGTCTTTTGATTTTTCAGATTCTTCATTTCTGCATTTTAATGGATTCCGATGGATATATGTTGAAAAGCACTTTCACGTTTCCTGATTCCTTTTGCCTTTTCTTTTTCTATTCTTTTCCTGTTTGGAGATTGTTCAATGTTTTGGTAAAAGTCGCGATGGATTCGCCAGGATTTCTGATCTCTTAGGCTAATTATATATTCGATTTATCAATATTGAATGATCGTATTGAAATTTACGATATCTAGGTTTTCTTTTTAACGTCTTAGTGGAATCGTTTGATTTGTATTCTTCTGGACTTCAATCCTTCACTGTTACACTTTTCCTTTTTCTTTAGTATGACCTTGAACTTGATTGTGCTGTTTTGCTTGACCACGCTTGACTGATTCTGTATTACAGGCTATTGTTACAGTTTGTGTCAATTTTTTTGTTCCTGATGTTTCTTAAGTTTTGCTTTGATAGATTGTGGTGCATTTTACTGCTTCCTGGTGCGGGCCACGCCGATTAATTGCTCCATATGTCTCACAATTGGCTAAGAATCATCCTAGTGTCATTTTCCTGGAAGTAGACGTCGATGAATTGAAAGTAAACATACTTAAGCTCTTTTTGCTCTTTCCTATCCATCACATCATATTTCAATAGTTCTGTCTCTTCAAGATATTGTTGAATACTGTAGCATGCGCTAGAGCTCTTTTCTTTTTTACTTGATCCCAACAGTGACTTCTGTTTCTCTCTGCAGCGTGTTGCTTTCAAGTGGGATATTGAGGCATTACCGACGTTTATTTTCCTGAAAAGAGGGCAAAAATCTCACAGGATTGTTGGTACTGATAGAGCGGCGCTATTGAGGAAAATAGAAGAGCTTAAAACTCCAGCAGCTGCTGCTTCTACTGCTTAGACAGTCAGCTTGGAGGATGTGTGTTCTTCTTATCCTCGGTATGGTGTAACAAGGATGATTCCGGCTTCGATTTTGATCTACTTGTGGATTTCATAACATTGTCTAAGATGTTTACTGTTTTTGATTCTCCTTACAGAAATTGGATTATGTGCGCAACTCAAATATGATTATGGTGCTAATTGTATAGAAGCTGCTGGATTCAATGCGGAATAAATGGATTAGGAATTTGTTGAACTCTAGAGTTGGCATGATTTTCAAATTTAATCACCTCTAGATGACGAAAGTTTCATCTGTTAATTTAGGGAATGATCATGGATTTATAATCAAAGAATACTCTCTCTACTGGTGAGCTCTTTGGGATTGCCCAAATTAAAGTCACTAGAGTTTATGCTCAAAGTGACAATATCATACTATTGTGGCGAGTAGTATTCATCTAACATGGTATCAGAGCTATGTCCTAAAATTTAGTCGTGCTAATAGATTGTTAAATCCTTAAATGTCGAAATAAAGAGATTTCAATAATCTACGACAATGATTTAAAAATTGTGGATGAGAGATAACGACAATGATTTAAAAATCTATTAGGATTTTTTTTTTAATAAAAAATTAATTTTAAAAGATTAAATTTAGGATTTATTAAGAGATCACAAATTAAAGTCATATAATTGAAGATAATTACAAAAACCAAAATAATATTTAAATCGTCAAAATTTAATGGATGTAATTTTTTTTAAAAAAAATCTTATATTTACTCTCTTAGTTAGCTTATTATAGATTTTTCCAAATTTTCTTTATGAAATTGAAAAAATCATAAGTAATTGATTAAAATTTAAAGGCCACGACGAAAATGATATTTTAATAAAATTAAATAAATAAATAAATAAATAAAAAAGTGGAAACAGTATCCAGTAACCCCATCCACTAGAGCCTGTGGAGGAGGCGCCACGTCCACACCTGCGGCATCTTCTGATCTTCATTTGGTTATTTTAATTAACAAGTTGTGAGTGAGCCTATGAACTTTGGAAGGGTGTGAAGAACTCTACTCTCTGATTAACAATGGAGAAACTGGCGATTCCTTGCCAAACAAAGCCTCCAATTTCCGTCCCCGCTTCAATTATCAAAACCAAACCCCTTAAATTCTCCTCAAAACCAACTCAAACTACTATATTTTTCACCCAGAAATCCAGTTCGAAGTCCAATGACGACCATTTGAGTTACCTTTGCCGCCATGGTCTCCTCCGAGAAGCCATATCCGCCATTGATTCAATGTCCAGACATGGGTCTAAGTTAAGCACCAACACGTATATCAATTTGCTTCAAACTTGCATAGATGCGGATTCTATTGAAGTGGGTCGTGAGCTTCATGTTCGTCTCTGTTTAGTTGATCAGGTGAACCCATTTGTCGAGACGAAGCTAGTAAGCATGTATGCGAAATGTGGGTTTCTAAAAGATGCACGTAAGGTGTTTGATGAAATGCCGGAGAGAAATTTGTACACTTGGTCGGCAATGATAGGCGCATATTCAAGAGAGCAGAGATGGAAAGAAGTAGTTGAACTTTTCTTTTTGATGATGGGTGATGGAGTACTGCCTGATGCTTTTCTTTTCCCAAGAATACTACAAGCTTGTGGGAATTGCGAGGATCTTGAAACTTTGAAGTTGATGCATTCTGTGGTTATTCGATGTGGGTTGAGTTGTTCTATGCGTGTAAGCAATTCTATTTTGACGGCATTGGTTAAATGTGGGAATTTGAGTTTGGCTAGGAAGTTCTTTGAGAACATGGACGAAAGAGATGAGGTCTCTTGGAATGCTATAATAGCTGGCTATTGCCGGAAGGGACATGGCGATGAAGCTAGGACATTGCTCGACACGATGAACGATCAAGGATTCAAACCGGGTTTGGTTACTTGTAACATACTGATTGCTAGTTATAGCCAGTTGGGGAAATGTAATCTTGTTATAGAATTGAAGAAGAAGATGGAAAGTATGGGGATCACTCCTGATGTCTATACTTGGACTTCGATGATTTCGGGTTTTGCTCAAAGCAGCAGGATTAATCTGGCATTGGATTTCTTCAAGGAGATGATTCTAGCAGGGGTTGAACCAAATGCTGTAACTATTACGAGCGTGACGTCAGCGTGTGCTTCCTTAAAATCGCTGCAAAAAGGACTGGAAATACATTGTTTAGCAATTAAAATGGGAATTGCTCATCAGGTATTGGTTGGGAATTCACTTATTGATATGTATTCTAAATGTGGAAAATTGGAAGCTGCTCATCATGTCTTTGATACAATTTTAGAAAAAGATATTTATACGTGGAACTCGATGATTGGAGGATATTGTCAGGGTGGATACTGTGGTAAAGCATATGAACTTTTTATGAGATTACGGGAATCAAATGTAATGCCTAATGTTGTGACATGGAATGTGATGATATCAGGGTGTATACACAATGGAGATGAGGATCAAGCTATGAACCTCTTTCAAATGATGGAAAATGATGAGGAGGTTAATCCGAACACGGCGTCCTGGAATTCTCTTATTGCGGGGTACCACCGGCTCGGTGAAAAGAACAAAGCTCTAGCAATATTTCGACAAATGCAGTCTCTTAATTTTAATCCTAATTCAGTGACTATCTTGAGTATCTTACCAGTTTGTGCAAATGTAATGGCAGAGAAGAAAATAAAGGAAATCCATGGCTGTGTGTTGCGTAGAAACCTGGAATCGGAGCTTCCTGTTGCGAACTCGCTTATAGACACGTATGCCAAGTCGGGGAACATTCAATATTCAAGAAACATCTTTGATGGCATGTCGTCGAAAGATATTATCACCTGGAATTCAATTATTGCAGGATATATTTTACATGGTTGCTCAGATGCTGCATTTCATTTGTTCGATCAGATGAAAAGGTTTGGAATTAGGCCGAACCGAGGTACACTGGCTAGTATTATTTATGCCTGTGGCATTGCTGGGATGGTCGACAGGGGACGACATGTTTTTTCTAGCATCACTGAAGAACATCAAATTCTGCCAACTTTAGATCATTATTCAGCTATGGTTGATCTTTATGGACGTTCTGGGAGGCTTACCGATGCAATCGAGTTCATCGAAAACATGCCTACAGAACCAGATGTCTCTATCTGGACCAGCCTACTGACTGCCTCGAGGTTTCATGGGAACTTACACTTGGCAGTACGAGCAGCCGAGCACCTACTTGAATTGGAGCCTGATAATCATGTGATTTACCGTTTATTAATACAGGCATATGCTTTATATGGGAAATCTGAACAAGCTTTAAAAGTGAGAAAGCTTGGAAGAGAGAGTGCAATGAAGAAATGTACAGCACAGTGCTGGGTTGAAGTCGGGAACAAAGTCTATTTTTTCGTCAATGGCGATCATTCCAAAGTCGACGTTCTAAACACTTGGATAAAAGGCATTGTAGGGAAAGTAAAGAAATTTAATAATCACCATCAGCTTTCTATTGACGACGAACCGAAGGAAGAAAAAATTGGCGGGTTCCACTGTGAAAAGTTTGCATTTGCTTTTGGCCTTATTGGCTCGTCTCACAAACCGAAAAGAATAAAAATCGTGAAAAACTTGAGAATATGTGGAGACTGTCATCAGATGGCCAAGTATGTCTCAGAGGCTCATGGATGTGAAATATATTTAAGTGACTCAAAATGCCTGCACCATTTCAAGAATGGCTGTTGTTCTTGTGGGGATTATTGGTAGCCTTGAACATGGTGTAAGCTGTTCTTAGAAGAGGGTAGTTGCTTGAAAAGATGATCTCAGGGAATGTGCAGTTGTGAAGATTGGTTAGACATATTCGTGTAGAATTTGGATTATGCTGAGAATGAATTGTTCATAACGCATTTTGACAGGTTTGCGATCTATTTATAGGTAACGAAATAAATTTGTTCGGAACGTACGACGTTTCAAATATTTGTTTTATGGTACTCACTGTTTTATCTATTTATTAGTATAATTCTTATAGCATTTCGACATTACATGCTTGTTTGGGTGCATAGTTTACTGTATAATGACATGACACATTTAGGTTGAAATGATCCTTGGTTTTTGATGAGGTTATGGAAAAAGCTTCTTGGTCGAACCAGTCTTTCATGATTTGCGTTATTCCCATGTTGTGAGGGGTAGTCTGTGAGATTCTATATTGGTTGGAAAGGGGAACGAAACATTCCTTATAAGGGTGTGGAAATCTCTCCCTAGTAGATGCGTTTTAAAACCGTGAGGCTGACGGTTGTATGTAATGGCCCAAAGCGGACAATATTTGCTATCAATGGGCTTGGGTTGTTACAAATGGTATCAAAGCCAGTCATCGAACGGTGTGCCAACGAGGATGTTGGGTCCTCAAGGGGGGTGGATTGTGAGATTCCACGTTGGTTGGGGAGGAGAACAAAACATTTCTTATAAGGGTGTGAAAATCTCTCCCTAGTAGACGCGTCTCTAAAACTGTGAGGCTGATAGTGATACGTAACGGGCAAAGAAGGCAATATTTGTTGTCAGTGGGCTTGAGCTATTACAAATGGTATCAGAGCCAGTTACCGGGTGGTGTGCCAACGAGGATGTTGGGCCCCCAAGGGGGGTGGATTGTGAGATTCCACGTTGGTTGGGGAGGAGAACAAAACATTTCTTATAAGGGTGTGAAAATCTCTCCCTAGTAGACGCGTCTTAAAACTGTGAGGCTGACAGTGATACGTAACGGGCAAAGAAGGCAATATTTGTTGTCAGTGGGCTTGAACGGTTACAAATGGTATCAGAACCAGTTACCGGGCGGTGTGCCAACGAGGATGTTGGGCCCCCAAGGGGGGTGGATTGTGAGATTCCACATTAGTTGGAGAGGGGAAAGAAGCATTCCTTATAAGAGTGTGGAAACCTCTCCCTAGTAAACGCATTTTAAAACTATGAGGCTGATGGTGATACATAACGGGTCAAAGCGAACAATATCTGCTAGTGGTCGGCTTTGGTTGTTACATAGTCACTTTCTAGCTTCATGTCCAATTGGTATGGTTTTACCTCCTTAGCTTCGCTGTTGTTCACCGAGACTGATTTTTCGTCCATCTCGATTTTTCTTCGTCTTTGGTTATAAGAAATCTTCGTACGGATGGCTGTTTACTGATAATTCAGCTGTCCCTCTATGAGTGAACGTGCCATTATTGATTGTCAAGCTGCTTCGTACTAACCGATTATCATTTTCTGCAAAGGCTATGATGGTTACCTGCAGATCAAGAAAGCCTGTACATCTAAACTGGCTTAAATGATGTAGGGTAATATGGGCACCTTCGGGCTCCCGGGGAGAGATTATGTAACAGCTCAAGCCCACCGCTAGCAAATATTGTCCTCTTTGGATTTTCCCTTCCGAGCTTCCCCTCAAGGTTTTTAAAGCACGTCTGCTAGGAAGAGGTTTCCACACCCTTCTAAAGAATGCTTCGTTCTTCTCTCCAACCGACGTGGGATCTCTTGGGAATTCATACCTACGTAAGTCACTTTTCAGTACAAAATGTTTAATTTCATACCGAAGTGACGCAAGGAGATGAAAGAATAATAAGAATACCAAACATATTAGAATCTATTGCGAAACGCTACAATTGTTTTTTAAGATTTCATTTTCTATTGTATGGAAGGATCAGATTCTTTTCTAGTAAATATTTCCCCTCCTTAGTGAAATTTGGAATCTATCTTCCCCATATCATTTGAAAAAGCTTTTGAAACCTTGATTCTCTTCTCTATGCCTTTTTGGCTCAAATAAATTCCTCACAGGCCGTGGCACACTGCAATTGTTCTACACAGACATCGAAGTTCAAGAAAATCATTGCTCTCTTTACTTGTCTTGTCTTTTGTTTCTGTAACAACAATGGTAGCTGCTATTCATTTGCTTTCTATTATTTGATTGCATACACTTTGTTTTCCACAACCAGTTAAAAGTTCGTTTTTCCCGCGCAGAATTCTGATGGTTCTCGAAAAATCAAGCCGATCTCGGCTGGTCCTTTTGGAGGAACAGGTGGAAATTATTGGGACGATGGAGTTTTTTCGACCATCAGGCAGCTGGTAATTTGCCATGGAGCTGGTATCGACTCGATCAAGATTCAATATGATGTGAAGGGAAGTTCGATTTGGTCAGATAAACATGGAGGAAACGGTGGCACTAAAACAGACACGGTAACCCCATACTTTGTTGGATCATCGATTGTTTGCTCGATAATTTCGAAACATCTTTGTGGTGAAATTTAGTTTGATCGTTGATGAAGAATACAGGAGTACCTCTGTGTGTTATCTTTTCATTATTGGTTTTACAGGTGAAGCTCGATTTCCCAGACGAGTACTTGACTATGATCCGTGGACACTACGGTAGCTTTGTGTCGTTCGACAAAGTTTATGTGCGATCCCTGACTTTTATGAGCAACAAAAGGAAGTTCGGGCCGTATGGGGTCGAACTAGGAACGATTTTCTCGTTCCCAGCGACCGAGGGCAAGATTGTTGGGTTCCATGGCAGGAGTGGATTGTACCTGGATGCCATTGGAGTTTACCTAAAGCCTATGCCAATACAAACGCCATCTAAAGGAATGATTCAGTCACCGAATTACGTTGCTTGTAAGGCTGAAAGTGAAGGCTATTCAATTATACAAGGAAGTGTTGGGCAAAATTATGATATTGTTCTTGCTCTACGACAGAAGGATGAATTCAAAAAGCCTCTTCCAAATACTATCTCGAAACAAGTATCTAGTTCCTCGAGCTCGGAATCGAGTGACGATGAATCCACAGACAAGGTGAGACGAAACCTTTTTTCTTTTACGCTTTTATTTGTCTTGTTTCAAGTGAACTCAAATAACAGTTGGTGATGGTCATCTCAGAGGCCGGTGAAGAAGGGACCGTCGAAAGTTGAAAATGCGGTACCGTGTGGACCGTGGGGTGGCTCGGGTGGAACTACATTTGATGATGGACATTACTCCGGTATTAGGGAAATTAATGTGTCGCGAAATGTCGGTATTGTATATATAAAAGTTCTGTATGCTTGGGATGAGGAATCTATATGGGGAACCCGAGCAGGTGGAAAAGGAGGATTCAAACATGACAAGGTGAATGTATTTCGTGTATAATTTCGTTTAAGTTCTTACTTTCTCTGTCGTGTTTTTCTCGTAGTCGTGACCGACCATTTTGCAGGTTGTTTTTGATTATCCCTATGAAATCTTGACTCATGTAACTGGACATTATGGGCCTGTAATGTACATGGGACCTAATGTTATCAAGTCACTCACATTCCATACTACAAAAGCCAAGTACGGGCCGTTCGGGGAGGCGCTAGGAACCCCGTTTAGTACCAACGTCAAGGAGGGAAAGATTGTTGGATTTCATGGCAGGAAAGGCTTGTTCCTAGATGCTCTTGGCGTGCACTTAGTCGAAGGAAAGGTGACCCCGGCGTCTCGTCCTCCCTCCAGTGAAATCGTTCCTGCCGCACGACCACCACTTCTTGGAAATGAGCTTGTCCCTTGGACTAAGAAAGTGGCACCTTCAAAAGGAGGAGCACTTGAAGAGGTACTCTCTAACTCTGCTAACCATTTAGATGTTTCTTAGTCATGAAAGAGCTTATAGACGAGTTATTTGTTTCATAGATTACTCGTGGTGTCGTAAAAGAACCGGCACCTTGTGGACCGGGACCGTGGGGCGGGGACGGGGGTAAACCATGGGATGATGGGGTATTCTCTGGCATTAAACAGATATACTTAACACGGTCTCTCGAAGCGTTTTGTTCGATTCAAATCGAGTATGATCGAAACAAACAATCGGTTTGGTCAGTCAAGCATGGAGGAAACAGTGGAACAAGCATACATCGGGTACTACCAAGTACTTTTCAACAGCTTCTTTTACATCCACAATGAACCAAACATGTTTTCTGGCTGTATTTGCAGGTAAAATTGGATTATCCACACGAAGTACTGACTTGTATATCGGGATATTACGGTTACGTCGGTAAAGGCGAGCGACAACAAGTTATAAAGTCGCTTACTTTCTACACAAGTAGGGGGAAGTTCGGTCCGTTCGGGGAGGAGATAGGGAACTTTTTCACGTCGACGACGACGGAGGGCAAAGTGGTTGGGTTCCATGGAAGAAGCAGCTTGTATTTGGATGCCATTGGAGTACACATGCAGCATTGGCTAGGAGGCCAAAGGGCATCCAAATCGTCTATGTTCAAATTGTTCTGATATGAAACTGTGAGAGAAGTAATAAAGTTGGGAGGGAATATAATGTTTAACCTAATCTAATCAATAACGTTTATCATATTATTCCCTGCATATGATGATATTTCATATTTGAGTTTTTTTTTGTTTAAAATTATATTTAACGGATTATTTGATTGATAAGCGCCAACAATGTTGAATTTTGCAAAGCCAGAAGTTCTTCTAGAATCCTTGGAAACGTTCACAAGGAAAATTAACTTAACAAAATGATTCCAACCAAGAGCTGGTTAGAAGATGAATGACTCTTAGATCGAACTTGAAGTCTATGATGGTCACTCTTAGATTCCAAGACGACTCACTCCAGAATTAGCTTGATCAAAACTAATTTAATGAATCGGTTTAAACATCAAACCTAAAGTAAAATTTGAAAAAGAAAAACATCAAAAAGGCATCAAGAACACGTTTTGTTTGTATTCAACAATGATTCATGAATATTACCTGCCTTTCAATAGGCCAAAAAGATAACTACCAAAGTCAAAGTCTTCTAGTCAAAAAAATTTGGGCTTAAGAGTCTTTATTTCAACTTGTACATTAGCTAACCTTTGAAGATGCAATGTATAGGTCTTTTGAATCTTCTTAACCTTGCTTCTAATTGGTCCTTCGGGCACATGCAAAGAGTTAGTAATTGAATTCATATCATTGATTTTAATGATTAGTTCTGTTCGATAATTATTTAGGTTCTGTTTGATAACCATTGAAATGTAAGTTTATAAACACTCACATCTAAGTCTTTCTCGTACTCACGTGTTAAAGCTCAATTTTAAAGATCATAAGAAAAGTAGTTTTTTATTTTTAAAATTTAGTTAAGAATTCAAATATTTCTCGGACCACAATATTTAAATTAAAAAAAAAAAAAGAAACGAGCTTAAATTTCAAAAACAGCTACTAAATTAATTTTTTTAAAAATTAAATAAATTCTTAAATTCTACTATAGTAATATTTTATTTATTCTGACCTCAGACATAAATATTTAAAATATTAATTTATATCAAGATTATTATTTTGTTATTAAATGAAATAATATATATGAAAAAATAAAAAGAAAAGAAAAAGCTGAGCACAGAATCTAATTAACCTAATTACTCTTCCAAACATTAAAATCTCTGATTAATTAAAAAAAGCTGAATCATTGGTCAGAAAAAGAAATTAAAGGATAATGAAAACAAATGAGGAGTGAGCTGTAAAAACCAAGAATTAAATTCCAAATATTAATTACTATTAATTTTCTTTTTTTAATCTTTTTAGAGAGAGAAAAAAGTGAAGAATCTGACGTGTATAATCAAAACAAATAGAGCCCATGGATTCTGTGTTCCTTTTCAGTTATAAGCCTAAGCTTTTTTATTTTTATTTATTTTTTTAAAGTTTAGAGAGAGAAATTAACTTTTAGGTTAAAAAAAGCTGTTTTTTTTGTGTGTTTTTTTCCTTTTTAACCTTTAACCAAAATAGAAAAAAGATTTGATCTTTGAGAAACTGAAGGAATAAAAACCCCTTTTTCCTTTCCTTCTCTAAAGATTGGAAGAGAGAGAAAAGGGCAATTCCGTCTTTTCGTTTGAATACTCGAGTCATCTATCCTTGAAACGATAATTTATATCCTCATTCGTTGAGGTATGCTTAAACCGTTTATAAATAATGACATATTTATTCCATCGTTAATTAAAAATTTGAAATCATATACAGAGATTAATTTTAAAATATAATATATTTCTTCGTCCAAATAACAAAATCTTTGTCAACTATTTAATATTTAACATATTTGTCATAAGAAATTAAAATATATTTCATGGTCATTTATTTAATTTATATAATGTGCCAAATATCCTTCTAATTCCTAGTCCTATTCATACTATATGATGCTACAAAAAAAAAAATGATATTTTTCCTAATATTTCAACACCATAATATAATGTATAGTTGGTTAACTAACGAGGTTGACTGGTCAAATGTTAGTAAATTTAAAAATAATTGTAAATAATTACAAAATTTAAATTGGTTTAATTAATAAGCAAAATAAGTATTAAATCATTTTAGATGGCTAATTCAATGTAAAATCTATAAATAATTATTTAATAGCGTTTTAAATGTTAAATAAATAAAAAAATGGATACATTTTTAATAATTGGAAACATTGCACTCATTTATTGGCCAATCATTTTCTTTCCGGACATTATAGGCCCCCTCGAATACAGACCAGTACTTGTCACAAAAACAATACATTAATTTATTATTATTTATTAAAAAACTTTATTCTTATTATTATTTCAATATTATTATATGTATTCGCCTAACCCTATTATTAATCATGTAAATAATTCGCGTTAAAATATTATTTAAATTTTTATGTATCACTCCGACTTAATTTTATTTTTTCTAAATTTAATTATTATATTGAATTAGTGAAATAAAATAATAATTTCATGCTAAACATATTTTGGTTGATTTTTCAAATATACCCACTTGAGAATGGGATTTAACTATTATTTTTTTAATTAAATTAATAATAACAAATTATCTGTAATAGGCTTAGATACTATATATATATATATATATATTTGTTTTTTCCAAGTGGATTAGGGGAGGGTGTAGAGTAGGGGTCGAAGAGAATATTGTTTATGGACTTTTATGCCCCTGGTTATTTGGAAATTTACGAAAATGGGCGGGATGGAAAACTGGAAGCACGTGTGGAGATGGGATTGGGTGTGGGAGATGGTTGCAGAAAGTTGTGAACACACTTGATTATAGCCCATGCTCGTGACCCGAGGCAGATCCTCCGTATCCACGAATGGGGCCCGGCGCGGGCCCCCCTTTCATCTAGCCCTTTACACAGTCTCCTCGAGTTCACACGTGCCTACCTCATCCTTGCACGTGAAATGCCACGTGGCAACGCTTGAGAGTTTGGCCTAATTGAATTTACCAAATTTTAGAGAGAGAAAAAAAAAATGGAGATATCTTAATATTTTTTTGTATTTATTGGACTCAAAATAAAACTTAGCTTTTGTTTATTTATATTTCATCTAATATTAAATAAATTAATGGTTAAATTTTAATAACAATATATATATATATGGATTTGTACCCTTTCTTGTTGTTTATTTATATTAAATATTGTATTTAAAGAATAACATTTATTTTCCACAAAATTTCTGACATTATAAAGTTTAAATTAAATGTCTTTCTCACCTAATTATTTAAATTATCAGTTGAAAATAAATTATATTATTTAGATGATAGAAAAATTAAATAAAAAACTTAATTTTATGAACCATTTTACTTAACTCACTCTTTTTCACTCTCAATTTTCAATTCTTTATAGTTGAAAAATAAATGATATTTGTGAACGAAAAAAAAAAAAAGATGGTAAAATGTTTTTCTTACTTTATTATTTTAAACTCACAATTCTTAATTGACTAATAAAAATAAATATTATAAAATTTTGTGAAAAAACAAATAAAATTTTATTTCTTAAATGAATACAAAAATATAAATGAAAAAGCAAGAAAAAAAAAGCTGCATATATATATATATATAATAATTAAAAAAAAGTCCGACACGTGCAAAGCTACCCAAGTTTTACTAAAAAGTCGAAATTAGTAGAGAGAGAGACTGAGGTATGTGTGTATGTATATATATATATATATATACACACACATAATATATATATATATATATATATATTTATTTATTTATTTATATTTTAGTTAAAGTTTTCCTTTTCTGTTTGTCTTCTGGGAAAATCTGTGCGTTCCCCAAGAAAAAGAAGGAAAATAATAATAATTAATAATAATAAATAATAATAACATAAGTAAAAAAAAAAAAAAAAGAAAAAAAAGAAAAATGCTTAGGTGCATGATTTTGCGTCCAGAAAATCTTAAAAGCGCCAATATATATCCTTAGTCTTACGTTACACTTCAACACAGACTTCTATTTTTTCTCTGCAATAAAAGATTTCATTTTTTTTTGTTATTTTTTTAAATTTTTTATCTGTTCCCATCCCATGCAACACTGCCACCGCCATAACCACCGCCGTCCGATCACCGCCGCCGCCGCCAACTTCAAATTATTCATTAATGATTCAACAAAGATGACTACTAAGCTTCTCTTAGCCTTTGCCTTCTGTCGTTTGATAGCCACTGTCGGACTCAACATGGGTCCGACGGCGGAGCTTCCCCGCCTCGGAATCGACGGCCTACTTTCCGTCGACCCCTCCGACGTCCAAATCGCTTCTGTCGATTTTGGCCTCATGACGCGGAATCCTCCTCTCGCTGTCTTACACCCAGCCTCTGCTGATGACGTGGCCAGATTAATCCGGGCAGCAGCGGCGGCGGCGGCGGCGGAGGAGGAAGGGGAGTATGGTGGGTTTACGGTGTCAGCGAGAGGACATGGACATTCGATAAATGGGCAAACGCAGACGGGGAATGGGGTGGTGATTGAAATGAACGGCGGTGGAAGACGGCACCGACGCGGCGGCGAGAGGAGTTCTCCGCCGCAACCTGTGGTGGCGGAGAGAGAGAAATTTGTGGATGTATGGGGCGGAGAGCTGTGGATTGACGTGCTGAAATCGACTTTGGGGTATGGATTGGCGCCGAGATCGTGGACGGATTATTTGTATTTATCCGTTGGCGGGACACTCTCCAACGGCGGAATCAGCGGCCAAGCCTTCAACCACGGCCCTCAGATCAGCAATGTCCATGAACTCGATGTCGTGACAGGTCCATTTTTTTCTCCTCCAATTAAACCCACAAAAATGCATGAATTTCACGATAAATTATTCAATTAATTACAAAAAAAAATTAAATTAAATTAAATTTGTAACAGGAAACGGGGAGATAATCAAATGTTCAAACGAAGAAAATCCAGATCTTTTCCACGCAGTTCTTGGTGGATTAGGACAATTTGGGATCATAACACGAGCAAGAATCCTGCTCGAACCCGCGCCGGAAAGGGTACTAAAAAGCAATTAAGCTATTTTCCTGTCCTTTCCATGCAAATAAATATTAAATTAAATTAAATAAAAAATACAGGTCCGGTGGATTCGAGTTCTATACTCAAATTTTGAAGCATTTAGGAAGAATCAAGAATGGCTAATATCGTTACATGCAAAGCCAGAGAATGAGAAATTTGACTACGTGGAAGGCTTCGTGATCGTTGATGAAGCTCTAATCAACAACTGGAGATCATCCTTCTTCTCACCGGCTAATCCGGTTAAAATCTCCTCCTTCAACAACAAGCCAGATGGAGATGTTTTATACTGCTTGGAGATCACAAAAAACTACCATGAATCCGCATCTCCCACCGTTGATCAGGTAAACCCATACCCTAATAATTATCATTGATCATTAATCATCGTCTTCAATCATTGCCTTCGTCTTCTTTACCCGAAAACACATACTATACAGACAAGATAACAGCGAACATTTTTGTAAAGAACGGATTTTTAAATTCTCATCCAACGGTTAAGAACTGTTAGCCATAATGTAGTGATTTGATCGAATAATTTTTATCGGTATGTTTTGGAACCCAATTTTTGTTTGTTTGTTTGTCGGATAGCTGAATTTACGAACATTCCAGGCCATCAAAGTAATAATTTTTATGCCATTTTGCAAGCTGTATTTGGGTTTTGTCTTGATTTTCAAATGGGGTTGTTTTTTTTCCACTCTTTGAAATTGGATTTTTTCCACTCTTTGAAATTGGATTTTTTCCCAAATGATTCAGAGAGTTTTAAGGAAGTGGGCCAACGTTGTTGTTTGTTGCTTGTGTGTGTCTGGTTTTATTTTATTTTATTTATTCAATAAATATAATTAGTTTTGGATATAATTAAAATAATTAAGGCTTAGGAGAAGAATAATAGATGGGAAGAAGATCTTGTGTGAATCAAATTATTTTTTTTAAGGAATTTATTTTTCCTTAATCCGACATTAAATAATAATACTAAATCTACGGTCTTCAACTACCAAATTATTCTCTTTTTTCTTTTCTTTTTTTTAAAATTGTTTTAATTTTAAGATTGATTGGAATCAAACTTATCCTCTGACAAAAAAGTAGCACCTGCTTTGCAGCAAAACCTGTTTTTTTTTTTTTTTTTTTTTTTTAATTTAAAATTTTGAAATTCAAAACTGACTCAAAACGACGGCGTTTAAGCAGGAAGTTGAGGCGTTATTGAAGGAGCTGGATTACATACCCGAGTCGGTTTTCACAACGGACTTGGCTTACGTGGACTTTCTTGACCGGGTTCATAAGGCCGAGTTGAAGCTCCGGTCAAAAGGCTTATGGGATGTTCCACATCCATGGCTCAACCTCTTCGTCCCCAAGTCAAGAATCGCCGATTTTGACCGTGGAATTTTCAAGGGCATTTTGGGAAATAACACCAGTGGGCCCATCCTCATCTACCCCATGAACAAGCACAAGTTAGTTCTTATTAACTTTTTTATATATTTAATATAAATTAAAATGAACAAGCACAAGTTAGTTCTTATTAACTTTTTTATATATTTAATATAAATTAAAATAAAATAGCAATCACTTTCTGCATGCAACATGCAAAAATAATAATAATAATTATTATTATTTAATATAGGGAAAGATTTCCAAATTTTGATAGCTCTCGATTAGTTCCTACCGACCAGTCTAACCTAACCTGTATAGTTTGAGTTGGGTTAAAATTAAATTAGGTTGGTCTAAAATTAAATTAGGTTGAATCGAACCCGTTTAAATTTATTAATTTATTATTAATTTTAAAAAATATTAAAATTTGAAAAATTGGGGATAAGACATGAGAGGAAGGCCTAGCCAGCTTGGATTGATAAATACATGGGAGGGTCTAGTTTTGAATGGACAAATCGGACTGTGGAGATTGTCCAAGGGAGAAGATTCTGGTGTCAGGAGATCTTCTACGTTGGACCTACGGACGGGGATCGTGTCCCTGTCCAGTTGACGTATTCCGTTTGCAGTGTTTTAATGGACATTTTGGCTGCTTATCTAACGACCCCCACACTTGGGGTCCCATTGATTGGCTCAAAAACTATCAATTCTATACCCCATCCCTTCTCTTACAGTTGTTTCCCTTTTCCCTGTGTAGGTGGGACCCCAGGAGCTCCGCGGTGGTCCCGGAGGATGACGTGTTCTACCTAGTGGCCTTGCTCCGGTCGGCGTTGGACAACGGCGAGCCAACGCAGTCGTTGGAGTATTTAAGCGACCAGAATCATCAGATTTTGGCATTCTGCGCTAAGGAGGGGATCAAAGTGAAACAGTACCTGCCTCACTACACGACGGAGCGGGAATGGGCGGAGCATTTCGGCGATAAGTGGCCGGAGTTTCAGCAAAGGAAGATGAAGTTTGATCCACGTCACATTCTCGCCACCGGGCAGAGGATATTTCCGCCCTTTACGACGGTGAACACGGCGGTTTCCCGGTAGATAGATAGTGGAATGGATGAGGAAAGGAATATGTTTGTTGTATATAGTGAAGAGGGCTCGTTTTTTAGGAGGTCATCATTGGTTGCGGAGAAGCACAAAACGACGGTGGATCAAAACATTCAAAATGCTGGACGAATAATGTACTGCTCTGCCCCATTTCCAACACTCGTATTGCTTGGTTCATGTGTTAGGAATCACGAGTCCCATGGCTATGCTTTGGCCTTCCCCAAAAGGTCTCATACCAATGGAGATAGTATTCCTCGCTTATAAATCTATGATCTTTCATTCAATTAACTAACGTGGGACTCACTCTCAATAATCCTCAGTCCTCAATATCATGTTCATTGGTTCACCGCCAACTTTGAAAAATGCATTAATGAAACACCATAAATTTAGATTTACACGAGAATTTATAATTATTTAAGAATAAAATGAAACCCCACTTGAAATATCTTAGAACTTTTGTTTATACTTGATTCTTCTTAACCTGACATTAGTTGTTGAGTTTAGCTTTAATGATGTTTGAGTTTAGACATGAAACAAGACATCTCAATCATGCAATATAAACTTCAAAACTTCCGTGAAAAAAATGTTAAGTCTAAAGGTCTTATTCTTCGATAAAATTGTTAGATCGAATTTCTCAATTTGGTTAGAGGATTTTAGCATTCGTGAACTAGGGATTTGCATATTGAAAGCGTTTACGAAGGTTTTTAGATTCGGGTAACGTGTCGGTATCTAAATCCTACGTCGTTTTCGTGCTGAACCCCAATAATATCTGATGAAAAGATTAGAACAAGAGGCAACAGCTGTTGGAAAGTATATGGGAAGGCAAGTTGTTCTTGAGAAGATAAGCAGAACAGTAGCCATTTTGCAAGAACAAAGAGATGAGTATAAGCAATTGACTAGTTGCACCTCTGGCAAGCCTGCTACAGCTACTCATTGCTGGCAACCAATTTGACAGCCTTCATGAAAATAATGTTTTGTCAGAATTCATGGTTAAAATGGTTATGGTTGAGCGAGAATAGACCTGAAAGTAACGAGACAACGACGAGTATGAGTGACCTACTGTGCTAATAAGTGAGCAATATGTGCACCCACAAGTATCTGTGTGTCCAAGTTTTTGGCACGTGACGGATATGGACACACCTTACTAATAGACCTGAAAGTAATGAGACGACAACAAGTATGAGTGACTTACTGTGCTAATAAGTGACCAATATGTGCCCCCACAAGCATCGGTGTGTCCAAGTTTTTAGCACGTGACTGACATGGACATGCATTAACCAAATTCTCATCCGTTGATAAGTGGTACTTTCATAATTCCAATTTGAATATAACTCAACTAGTTAGAGGCATGTCTGTGATTAAAAGGTTAGAAATTCAAATCTTCTTATTCCGACTTTTAGAGCAATCAAAAAGCTCAGATGAAATCTAAAAGTCAAAACGTAACTGTAAACTCTTGGGGTTCCGTTACAGCACTTTAGAATTTCATTCTCGAGCACGAGTGTTACAACTCAAGTTCACCGCTAACATATATTGTCTACTTTAGCCCGTTACGTATCGTTGTCAGCTTCATAGTCTTAAAATGTGTCTGTGGTTCCCCTCCCCAACTGATGTGGGATCTCACAATCCCCCCCCCCTTGGGAGCCTAGCGTCCTCGTTGGCACATTGCTGGTGTTCGGCTCTGATACTATATTAGTAACCATGACTCTCTACAATGGTATGATATTGTTTACTGGCGGTTACAAATGGTATCAAGTCCAGTCACCAGACGGTGCGAGCCATTGTCGGAGTAGGGTTAGTCACCAGTAGACGCGTTTTAAAAACCTTGAGAAGAAGCCCAAAATGGACAGCCTAAAGAAGACAATGTCGGCTAGCGGTAAGTTTGAGATGTTACAATAGGGATGTCATCAAACTTCATTATTCTCTCTGAGTATACTTATTGAGAATAGACCTATGCAGTAACTTTTCATTACAAACCTTCCAAACATCTATCCATCTAAACACTAACAAGATATGACAACTCGAGGGTTCATGTCAACTTATTTCTACATACCTTATTGAAGCCCAACCATATATTGCACCCTCTGGCTCGTGGGAAGAGAAGTAATGCTGACATCCATCCAAGACGCTTGTTTTCCATGCTCACTCGATTTTACCCAACTATGTTACATCTATGCGTCATGGGGCGACTTATAGGACATAGACTCAAAGGTGATAGAGAGTTAACATCACGTCTCTCCCTATAGTACATTCTAAAACATATTCAATATGCATCTCTAATACACGAGAGGTCATACGACAATGTAGAATGCTCGTTCGATCTCCATTTAAAGTGAAATTTAACATGTTTATAACTCCAGACTCGTTCATTGAAATTCTCGATGAGGCCTCAAATAGGTCATGGCTTGGACATTGAAATTTGTTATTAACATAAAAATGATTAAATTATGAATAAATAAATAAACCCTCATTTTATCTCTTAATTATTTGAAGTTTTTTCCAAAACAAACCCCAACTTTTTGATGACTTAACCAAAAAGAAAGGTTGAGGCTTAAAGCAGGGGAAGGAAGTAACAGAAGTGAGAATTTGGTAACTTAGGGCTTCTTGATCCTCAAGCTTACTCAGAAAAATTCGATTCCCAACTGCGACAGCAAAAATGGCGGATGGAGAAGAAGCCGCACGGCGTCTTACGGCGGTCAATGACTACCGGAAGAAACTCCTTCAGCACAAAGAGCTCGATGCTAGAGTCCGATCTCGTATGTTCCTTCCTAACCAAGTTCATAATCTACTACTGTTTTTACTCTGTGAAGTCCGTAATTAGTCGTCTCGATGAATTTTGCCGATTGGAGTAGTTTTAGGTTTTGATCTTCTGCAGCGGCCGTTCCTTGTATTGTGAAATTGCAGCATCTAAGCTTAAGGCTCATAGCTCTTGTATTTCCATGCCGCCTTGTATATAGTTTGATTTAGTTGTATCTGTAAGGAAAATATGATCATTGTGGAAATTAGAAAACGTTATGGGAAATGGGTTATGTTCTTGATGGTTTGTTATCATTTCCCTTTGCTACACATCTTTAGTGCTTGACTTTATTAGTTGGTATTTCGTGAAGTGGTAATGGAAGCTGAGATTCTTGTTTATTTTATGGAGGCCTTAAAGATTATGTTTAATTTATGTTTCCAGTGAGGGAGAATTTACGAGGTGCAAAGAAAGAATTTAACAAGACGGAAGATGATTTGAAGTCTCTGCAAAGTGTTGGCCAGATTATTGGAGAAGTTCTCAGGCCACTTGACAATGAACGCTGTAATTCTCTTCTTAGTCCTTGAATTGCTTTGTGAGATGAAATTCTCTCGAATCCGTTGACAATGTAGGATTATTTCTGCCATTGTGATTTCAGTGATTGTCAAAGCAAGCAGTGGACCAAGATACGTGGTTGGATGCCGTACTAAGGTCGATAAGGAAAAATTGACGTCTGGTACTAGAGTGGTACTTGATATGACAACGCTCACCATTATGAGGGCTCTTCCTCGCGAAGTAAGTTAGATTTTTGTGTATACTCGAATGGTTATAAGGGGGATTGTCCTAAATGTTTTTATATAATTTGATCTGATAGGTAGATCCCGTCGTGTATAATATGTTGCATGAAGATCCTGGCAATGTTAGCTATTCTGCTGTGGGTGGTTTGTCTGATCAAATTAGAGAATTGAGGGAGTCGATTGAGCTACCTCTCATGAATCCTGAGCTTTTCCTTAGGGTTGGTATCAAGCCTCCCAAGGTACTATCTATCTATCTATCTCTTTGATGGGATTACCAAATCCTCCCTTTCTTACTCACATTATTTGTTCACTTTTCGCTCGAAGGGTGTGCTTCTCTACGGCCCTCCCGGTACTGGCAAGACATTGTTGGCAAGAGCAATTGCGAGTAACATAGATGCCAACTTCTTAAAGGTTGAATTTTCTCCATGTACAGAAACGACGTTAATACACCCCTCTTCCTCAACTAATATATAACTACTAGCTTCTCTCTTCTCTTTATTGAAGTATAGGTTGTATCGAGTGCCATAATTGATAAGTACATTGGAGAAAGTGCAAGGTTAATACGGGAGATGTTTGGATATGCACGTGATCATCAGGTAAGTTCTTATGAGTATGAACTTCTCTTTGTGTGATTCTATTAGGAAAGGTGTTTCATAATGCATGCCCTGTTCCTTTCTGTGCTTAGCCCTGCATAATTTTTATGGATGAGATTGATGCCATTGGTGGGCGGAGATTCAGTGAGGGAACAAGTGCGGACCGGGAAATTCAACGAACATTGATGGAGTTGCTTAATCAGCTTGATGGTTTTGATCAGCTTGGCAAGGTATGTCTGGATTTGCTGACTCTTCGTTTTATGGGAACAATGAACTTCTCATGGATATCTAGATTTCCAATATCCCATGAACCTGATCCAGATGCCCAACGGAATAGTGGGTGTTTTGAATATTATTGTTAAGAATCTGATGTTACATCTTTGGCCTTCCTTTCGAACTTGTTTGAAGGCAGCTTTGGATATTCGTATATGCAAAGATACCTATGAACATCAGTATCCAGGTGCCCATCAAAATGACGGATGCTATAAATTTTCATAAAAAAAGAAAAAAAGAAAGAATCATCTCATGAAGAATCTAACTGCTTTTACTTAAACATATTTATAATTTGTATATTGTTTACATGTTTATGTATGGCAGTAACTAGTAAGGATAGACAGATAATGAAGTCGGTGGCCAAATACGAAGAACGTGTTCATTCTTATTCTAATTGTCTTATTTGCCTGTGTGATGATATAATATCATGCAACTAGCTAAACCGAAAACGTAAGGTCTTTGATCTTGTTGCTGATCATGTGGACACTTGATTGTTTGTCTTAGATCTGATTTGGAATTTCTTACAAATATTTTGCTTTCATAACAAAAGATTATTAACTTGAAACTGGCACTGCAGGTCAAAATGATAATGGCCACAAACAGGCCAGATGTTCTTGACCCTGCA